AAAAGCAAACAAAGTTTAACCGTTTCTTATACGTACATTCTTGTTGATTATTTAACGATAATATTATATTTTGAATGCTCTGGCGTCCATGGACTTAAAATTTTGCTTGTCGGAATTAACGTTAGAAATTATGCAGTTTGTTCTGTGTTTAATATGAGTTTGTTTTATTCGCCATAGATTTCTGTCCATTCTTCGTTAGCTAGAGGCTCTTCACGATATGCTAAGCCGAGCACAATTTTCAGTTGTCACCTTTGAATATTGGGCGCACTTATTAAAAGAAAATGCTCGCTTCAAACAACGCTTCAAATTAGGGCTCTTATTCTTCAGAATTTCCTTTTTTAACAATGCAAAACATAAAATTAAAATAATTTTGATAAAATTTGGGTCTGCGGTCGAAAATATTTGAAATACTGTGAACAAAACAGCATAGAAACCCAGGAAATAAGACAATGAGTTTACACTGATGAACTTGCGTGACGTCGCGAAAATTGCTATTACCAGTGTTCTGTTATTGACTGCCATGGGTTAAAAAATATATAGATCAACATTCAAAATGTCTTTAAATTTTTTTCGTTTTTCGGACCCATGAATCCGCATTTTCGATGGTCTTTTCATTTCGCATTTTATGTCTGAGGCACTTGAATTGGGGGCTAATATTCATATAATTATTCACGTTGAGCGTCATTAGTTTCTTTTGAAATTGATTTTTTTACTGTCTGCTAACATGATGTACAGCTGCCATCAAAGACCGTTTACACTATGCCGGATTCACATAGTCACGACATCATTTTAACTTGTTTTACAGTATCCCCGTACCCAGATTCTTTTCATTTGCCATATCATGCTAAAGCAATCATGCTATCATAATTTTGGGATTAAAACTCGTACAGACATGGCTAATTTTCAGTGATATCGGGACCATGCGAATCCGATGCAGTGTAAAAAGGGCTAAAAAGCTATGTTACAGAGGTAGGTTAGGGCGCAAAGATAAGCAAAGCCAAACAGAAAGTGCCTTCTTAATCCGTTATACAAAACATTTCAAAGGTGTATAATGTGGTTAAACTGCCTGATGAGACTGATTGTTTTAAAGTTGAAGAAACACTCCCTTCAGAAAAAATTGTACCATGAATACGAAAGACAATGTTATTAATATCATATTGAACGAAATTTCATCGTACATCACGCTTTGGCCTAGGTTCAACGTCGCACTTTAGTCGTGTCGAATGCAATTCAAACAATACATGATAATGAGTTTAACATCCCATTAACTATTGTTCGAATTGCATTCGACGCGATGAAAATGCGACGTTTAACCTACCGTAAATGATCGATTTAGCGCCGCGGCGCTTATTGCAAATATCGATTTAAAGACACGGCGCTTATTTGACAGCGGCGCTTATTCGACAGCGGCGCTTATTTCAAAGTGCACAAATAGATTGTTTTCTGAAGGCCGATGGATCGAGTAAACTTTTGGTAGAGGTTACAGGAAAAAGAAAGCGCAAGGTTGGGCTGGTGATTCCCGCTAAGTTCACAGCAATACGGCGAATCGACGACATGCCCAAGTGTTAGACACGGAGGTAATTAGGAAGAAGGAAAATTTTAAACTATCAGAACTGTCATATGAGCCCGATTGTAAGAGATATTCGACAATGAAACTTTAAAGTTTCAATACTGGCAGTCGTTCTCAATAGTTTAAATGTTAGGATTAACGCGTCTAAATAAAGAATCGTTTATTTCTACATTTTTAAGCGTTTATTTATATCTTCCTAAATAGTCGCCGCGGCGCTTATTCAACAGCGGCGCTTATTAATTATTATTATTATTATTTATTATTTAAAAATATTTTAGAACGGTAGCTCTTCAGGGCTCTTACGCACCTGATTTTCAAGAGGCCGTTCATTTACAAGTTAAAAACACACTATACTATACAAATATATACAAATAAATTACCAGTTACTTAAGTAAGTACAATAGGCGTCGGAAATGTTTATCATTCTAGAGAATAGTGACCGAGAATTGATCTAAACTTCTGGCTACTCAAGCCTGGGTTTTTAGCCTCTGGGGGTAAATTATTCCAGGCCGAAGCAGCTGCATAGCTTATGCTTTTTTTCATGAAATTTGTATTAGGTTTGTCAAGGCTGAAATCTCGGTTGTTGCTACGGAGGTTATACCTTGAGTTTGTTTTAATATCAAACATATTCGTTGTGGTACTTGGCATTTTGTCATTCCTAATCTTGTGCGTAAAAATTAATTTCTTTCGTTTAAAGCGTTCTTTCAGGGGTTGCCAGTGGAGTTCTTTTAAAACATCTCGTGATCTCGTTTCGTATGTTTTACTAGTGATTACGCGTGCTGCTCTGTTTTGCAATTTTTGTAATTTATCAATTAAATAATCACTGCAATTGTCCCATACAAGGCTACAATAGTCGAAATGTGGTAGAATAATGGCATTGTAGACTTTTGTTAATGTTGTTTTTGGAACTAATTTTCTCATTCTCCGCAACGTGCCAATACCTTTTGAAATTTTGTTTGAATGTTTTCGATTTGCCTTTCCCAAGTAAGGTGTTCGTCTATAACAACACCCAGAGTTTTAGAAAAACTTACTCGTTTGATTTTTGTTTCACCTACGTGGATTTCCGGTTCATTTGACATATTAGAGAGCTTTTGTCTAGATCCAATTACCATGTATTCGGTCTTCTCCTTATTCAGAGTGAGTTTGTTAGTCAATAGCCACTGGTGTATGTTCTCTAGGTCGTGATTTAGGGAATCCTGAATTTCCATTGCCGATTTGCCTTGTGTTGAAATGTTTGTATCATCAGCAAACATGCTAACAGTCGATGTTGACAAGCAATTTGGAAGATCGTTTATGTACAATAGAAATAGTAATGGTCCGAGGTTTGAACCCTGCGGTACACCACATTTAACGATTCTTTTGTCAGATAATATTTGATTAACTTTACAAATTTGAGTCCTATTAGAGAGATAAGACTGGAACCATTTAAATGATTTTTCTCTTATTCCATAGTGGAAGAGTTTCCTTAGCAAAATACTATGGTCAACACAGTCAAATGCCTTTTTTAGGTCAAGGAAGATAACACCGTTCAAACTTCCCTTATCCATGTTGACAAACCATTGATTTGTTATATTAAGGAGAGAGGTCTGAGTGCAGTGTGATTTTCTAAAACCAGATTGTTGTTGTACTAGTATATCATTCTTTTCTAGATAAGTTTCCAGCTGTTGAGTGATAAGTTTTTCGAATATTTTTGCAACGTTAGATAAAATTGAAATTGGTCTGTAGTTACTGCAATCGGTCTTGCATCCCGATTTATGTATTGGTGTGATTATTGCCGTTTTAAAATCATTTGGAAATAGGTAGGCCTATAATTTACTATCGGAATCACAATATTAAAACAGATAATGATTGATTTTATAATTTCGTTGATAGAGCTATAATTTAAAGTAACACAATTTTTAGTTTGGCAGATCGTACAAAATTCCCAAGACAGGCAAACCGAACCACTACCTTTTTACCTATAAACTATAGCGGTCTGCTTAATGCCCGGCGTCTGTGCTTAATGCAACAGTTCTATTTAGTTTTTCATAATTACACTCGATATAAAACTGAAAATAGATGTAAAATTATAAAGTACAAGCTAGAAAAGCCGCAGCTCTTTTGCCATAAACATCTGGTGATGCACAGTCTAAGACAGAATACTGATTTTTGATAAGATCGAAAATAGCCTATAATTTTGTTGTTGTTGGGCTAATGCTTATTATATAATGTCTACTCTAATCATGTAATATTATGATAATACCTGTGTACAAGCCAGAGCTAAAAACTTGAAGCTTCACAATTCACCAAAGATGATAAATGTTTTTTTCGCGGTTGAAGGTGTAGGACAGCTGAAATCTCCAGCTGATTTCAAAGGTTTGTTGTGACGTCACTAATTACGGTTGTAGCGGCAGAATAAATTAAAAGGTTTAATTTAAAACTCAAAATACCTTAACAACAACGATATTGGTCATGCATTTCTAAAGAATATTTTAAAATAAAAATCAACCAATGCAATTACGATTTTGAGCTGTAGAAATTTATTCCGCCTAACCCTGAACCGCCTCTAGTGATTTCTGTTAGAAACCCCAAGCGGAAGTACAAGTGAAGACACGAGACAAGGAAGTCGTTATTTTTGTATGCGTCTATGTAAAGCTATACAACCATTTGCAAGCTTCCAATAATCGGGCACCAAAAACAAGGTTTTGAAATGTTTGAATTAATAATTTTTTCAACGCAAACACATTTGTTTTAACACTAAAACGTTTTCTGGGAGGGCCAAAGCTAGCCTCGTACCCAGGCGCTTTAATAAAAAACATTGTAAATTATATAACGTTGCATTCAGTTATTATATAGAGGTCAGCTGAAAGAATTAAGCCAAGCACGTGGTGGTGCTTGGGGTGGTTATATTCTGCGAGGAAGCGCCTGGCAGAAAATGATAGATTTCTGAAAAACGTTTTTATTTTTGCAGGGTTTTTTTATTGTTTATTGAATAAGCGAGTCTAGCTAAATTATTGTAGGATTATACTAAAAATAATATTACATACTGTACAATGACGTTGTCATTGAGAAATAAACCGGATATAAATTTGTCTTTATCTCTTTATTCAAGTCTATAGCGATTTTCTAAAATAGACATCCCCGCGTTTAATATGATAAATTATGAGTCAAAAGAAGAAGAAGAAACACAATTCTTAATCTATATTTATGATTAAGAAAGGCTACAGCTGTCGTATTATATGCTATTTCAGTGAAAGAACATTCCATCTTTCGCCTCGTGAAATATTCCTACAATTGTATATCATAGTATCATACACATTCATCATTAGTCTAATAATTAATAACATTAATATGATCATTTCTACAACCCTCTGTTACAGTATTTAACTGTGAAATAATGTTTTCTAGGCCTGTGTTGTAAATTACCAACAATCCTGCGTGGAATGCTGTTCTACAAATCAGCCTGCCGGAGTTTCATCTCACTTTTTGCCATAGATCGTCGATTGTTGTTCCAGTTGTACCATGTCATTCCACCTGAAGATATACCTGCCCTGGGGAATAAACCGTTGAGATTGGAGTTTCCGCATGTGTTGTCATGGTTACTGTACCACCATGCACCAGTGTGGAGAACAGCACAGTTAAATTCACTCGACATGTCGTTATCTCTATCTTTGGTACTGAATTTTGCCCCGTTATTATCAATCAATGAATCTCCAGCATTTTCTAAAATTAAATTATATTAATTTTCAGTTCGTATTTACTATAGCAGATACAACAACACAAACTTATTGTATCATGAAAATATTAAATTTAACTATTCTTTTAGGCCTTATGGCTGCTTTCCACGCAGTTACGCGTTTTCTATACGCAGGTACACGCACGGAAATTTTTAAATGCTCCTAAATTTTTATTATTTAACACCAAGGTCAAGTGAATAAATCGAAAGAACTTAGTTTTCTGTATATATTTTAGTACGCATTTAGTTGACCTAGATGCTAAATAATAAAAATTTAAAAGCATATAAAATATTCCGTACGAATACGTGCGTATAAAAAACGCGTAAGTGCATGGAAAGCAGCCTTAAGTTTCATTTTAAATTTTACGTGCGTTTACGTACGTACAAGAAACGCCACCATGGAAAACAGCCCTAAATTTATGGCAGTCCAAGGTCGGCCAGACTTTTACTATTACATCAATCTTATCAGTTACTAGTGCAAGTTCACCTCCTAGGCAAAAATTTACAACGCTTATTAAAAGCAATTCCACTTTTTTAACATCAGTTTCTCGTAAGTTATCATGCTTTATAAAACAAGCCATTAATTCTCCACTATTCGGTTTGCCTTTTCATCGTAACTAGGCCTTTGAAGATGCTAAGCATCATGTGGTGAGCTTAAGCAGGAACAAAGAGAAAATGAGATCGAGGTAAAACATGTGATTTCATTTTGTTTTTCACGTGAAAACGTGAAGGAAACTGATTTGCTATAAATGTTTTAAATATCATGATGGCGTACATATTACATACCTTTTGGAGCACATTTCACTCCAGCATCTTCAAAATGATGACAGTCATGGACTCCCCAGCCTCTATGGGAACAACTGACCAGATTTTTCTCATTCCCAGAACAACGAACATCGTCTAACCATATCATCCCTGAACCAGAAGGAACAAGTTTTCCCTGAAGGGCCGCAAGGGCTTTCTGATAACCAAGTTGACGACACACAACTTGAGCATCCTTGATATGCCATTTGTCGTCACAGATTGTTCCCCATTTTCCGTAATGAAATACCTCCACACGACCAATACCCATGAAACTTAATGGCCCTTGCAGCCTCACTGTTTGATCTAAAATTATGGTAATGATCCTGTGAGTTATTAAAAACTGTTCACTAAACCAACATTGAGTAAATTTAGGAGCAAAATATTATTCAAAAGAGCAAAATAGTTCTTTAGTAATTCCGGCCAAATTTATAAATTACTATTTTACTAATTACTATTTTAATTACTATTTGCACTAGTAACTGATAAATCTTAAGTGCAAGTTCACCTCCCTGGCAAAAATATACAAGGCTCATTAAAAGCAATTCCAGTTTTTTACCATCAGTTTCTTGTAAGTTATCATGCTTTATAAAACAAGCCATTCTTCACTATTCAGTTCGCCTTGTCTTCGTAACTAGGCCTAGGAAGATGCTAAGCATCATGGGGCGAGCCTAAGCAAGAACAATGAAAGCGAGGTAAAACATGTAATTTCATTTTGTTTTCCTCGTTGAGACTTAAGAAATCACAGTTTTAAATCCAGGGAGGTAATTTGACAGTAAATCACTGTATAAGAGTAGGACATAATTTTTGAAAACATAACTTCTACCGTATTTTTTCCAAGTTTCATGCAATTTATTTCCGAAGCATGCAACATTATGTTATCTGTGTTTGCTTTCTGATGACATTAAAAAAAGGCTAAAAATATTTCACGTGAAAACGTGAAGGAGGCTGATTTGCTAAATGTTTTGGATTTCATGATGGATTACATATTACATACCTTTTGGAGCGCATTTTACTCTAGCATCTTCAGAATGATGACAGTTGTGGACTCCCCAGCCTCTATGGGAGCAACTGGCCAGATTTTGCTCATACCCAGAACAATCAACATTGTCTAACCATATCTGCCCTGAACCAGAAGGAACAAGTTTTCCCTGAAGGGCGGCAAGGGCTTTCTGATAACCAAGTTGACGACACACAACTTGAGCATCCTTGATATCCCATTCGTCGTCACAGATTGTTCCCCATGTTCCGTTATGAAATACCTCCACACGACCAATACCCATGAAACTTAATGGCCCTTGCAGCCTCACTGTTTGATCTAAAATTATGGTAATGATCCTGTGAGTTATCACCAACAGTTCACTAAACCAACATATAGTGAATTTAGGAGCTAAATACCACTCCAAAGAGCAAAATAGTTCTTTAGCAATTCCGGGAAAATTTAAGAATTACTATTTTATCTGTTTTAGAATTACTGAATGAGATTCATTCAAAACAAGACTTTGAAATGCTTTTATTAACGCAATAATTAAACTGCAGTAAGTAAACAATTAAACATTCAATCTTTTCTCATTGAACTGGCCTTTGACCAAGACGTTCCATGTCAAAATTTATTTTCCAAAAGAGGAGAGTTATTATTTAAAATTTCATTTTTGACGAACCAAAGAGAAGACATGGTTTAACTGAAGTCTGTTCGCAAGCGGAAAAAAGCTAATTCCAATTATTTCGTTGCAAGGAATGTTGGATTATAAAATTCACCTTTTTCAAAACAATTTACCCCAGCATCATCAGAATGTTGACAATTATGAATTCCCCAGTTCTTAGACGGACAATTAGTTAGTTCTTGTTCATTCCCAGTGCAATGAACGTCGTCTAACCATATCGGTCCAGTGCCAGAGGGAACATACTTTCCTTGCAAGGCCTCGTTAGCTTTTTGATAACCAAGTTGACGACACACAACTTCAGCATCTTTAATATCCCAGTTATCGTCACAGATTGTCCCCCATTTTCCGTTATGGAATACTTCTACACGACCTGTACCATTTGATCTTAATGGCCCGCGTAACCTGATAGTTGGTCCTGAAAATGAGGATGCGATAATAATAAAATGGCTGATTTTTTAAGATCACGATAAGATTTATCATCTTCTCAATTATGGATGGCAAATTAAAATTGAGCCTAAATTTTGGCCTTCCATTTTAGCCATTACTAGTAAAATACAAAATACTTGCCACGAAAGAGGGTTGACCAGTTTTTTGATACTTTATATGATTGCAAGAACCCATGCATGCAACAGACTCAGTTACACAGGGTTGAATCCACACTAAAATTGTGAAATGACTCAAAAATCTGGTTGACTACAGTACTGTCAAAAAATAACTTAACAAATAATGGTTAATCTACGTTAAACCTCGGTCTGATCGCGGTTGAACCGAGCTCAGACCGAGGTCAAACCGTGGTGAGACGGAAGTTTAACACCTCGGCTTATATTACCTTGGTCTGAATAACATTTCTGAAGATTTTTTCGATATGATTATTGTGCTGTCGATCTCAGCTGTTCATATATAGAACTTCGTTAGGAACCGAAAAGCAACTGCAAACGTATTCCTTTCATTTGCGGTCAACCGCGGTTTCTATTCGGTGGACCGCGACTGAATCGCAACCGCAACTGCAGTGTCAGGGCAGTTTTCCACTAGGCGGAATTTTTCGACCGAACGAAATTTTTCCTTCGATTTTCTTTTTAATTTTGACCGCGGTGAAGGGAATCCGCTACGGTCGAACTCTCACAATTGAAAAGAATATCAGACGAAAAATTCCGCCTTCGGTCCAATAATTCCGCCTCGTGGTAAATCGGCCTTAGGTTATTTCTGGACAGTACATGTATATTTACCCTCTGTGGAAAATCCATCAACGTGCAGTTTATAACCATCAGATTCAGAACTCACAGAAAACATCGAATAGTTTACAGAAGCTATCGCATCACCAGACTTCAGGATAATTCTTGATGTGTTTTGACCAGATTCTGTTAAACGATGTATTTTGTCTAAACCAAGCCAAAAATTCCCAGAGAGAGTGCCAAATCCTGCTTTATATTCGGACCAACCACGATAAAAATCGACACTTGCATCTTTCCTTCTCTGAATCACCGTCCATCCTCCTCCATTGGTTGTCATATCACACCAGACTTTAAAAGAACCCTTACCATTCGGATTTATTGTGTAAATTCCATCAGATCTCATACCAGACTTGTACCAATGTGCGCAACTTTTATCTGAAACTGGTCAATATTACAATAAACATAAAAAAATGTACTAGGAAATGTTTATGCCTTGTCAAATAGTAGCTGAACGCAACGTTATATGTTTTTCTACTAATTTTTTTATGCCTGGTTAAAATTTACCATCTACAGCTGTAGTTGTTTTGCTGCTTCCAGTTAGCCTCAGGCTGGGTGATTACGAGCCTAAATAGTAGCTGAACGCAACGTTATATGTTTTTCTACTAAAGCGCCTGGGTACAAGGCTGAAGATTGAAGGAAGCTGATTGATAAGATTTGGTTACAAAAATGTAAATGCCGATTACCACAGCTCACTCCAGCGTCTTCAGAATGACGACAGTTGTGGACTCCCCAGCCTCTATGGGAACAACTGGCCAGATTTTGCTCATTCCCAGAACAATGCACATCGTCTAACCATATCTGCCCTGAACCAGAAGGAACAAGATTTCCCTGAAGGGCCGCAAAGGCTTCCTGATAACCAAGTTGACGACACACAACTTGAGCATCTTTGATATCCCATTTGTTGTCACAGATTGTTCCCCATTTTCCGTTATAGAATATCTCCACACGACCAGCACCATTTGAACTTGAAGGCCCTTTTAACTGGATTGATAGACCTGGAATATATGACAACAGACTAGTAAGCGACCAGTTGCGCTTCCAGCGTTAGTAAGATTAAATTAATACAGCTCTAACTTGCAATCATATTAATAAATTTTTGCAAAATTATTCTTGGAGATTATAGGAATTACACCATGGCATGAAGGAAAGATGGATAGATATCCATCTCATGCAGCTGTAATGTGCCCAAATGCAGACCTCTTGCATTTTTGCTGGCAAATGTTTATTACGTGATATATTGTGTGATATTCTTCATTTGTCATTACCTCATTGTTTTATGACATCTGCCGTGTGACCTTCAATCATTTTCAAAAGGCTTGGAAAAGGTAACCAAATTAGCGACTTAAAACACAAACCCAGATCCCCCGCGCCCTCTTTTCAATTTTATGTCCCAAGTAGACGAACATTTTGTTCGCAAACGTGTAACCAACACTGATTGGAGGAAAGTGGGTAGGGTGAGATGTATGGCCATGATCATATATAGTAAATATTAGTAAAGAATAGTAATACCTAACTACCATTAAAAATGATTGTAATTTCACTAATGTTTTTGCATTTGCGGAGATGAAAACACATTTCAAAATAAATTATTTTTTTTATATCAATTAAAAAACCCAAAACTTACTACTAAAATTAAACGGCAGAAATAATGAAAAATGACAAGGAATGATGGCTTCTGTATGACATCTGTATTTTGGGAAAATTTTAGGACACGAAGTTACATTTCTGATAATACGTATTCTGTGACGCGGGTATGTAACAGGTTGCCCAAATTCTATGTAATGGGCCGTGATCATCAGAATTTTTACGTACGCGCAAAAACTGAACTGGTAATTAGCAACTTTCTGATCGCATGGCAAAATACAAAATTAAGTGTAACTTCGCAAACGTTTTTGTAAAAGTGCTTTAAAAACTTTATAAAGAAAAAATTTGAAAAGATTGGATAAAACTGAGCGATATTTAAAAAAAATATATACAATTTAAGGGTTTTGAAAAGGTAGGTGTCGGATTTATTGTGTAAATTCCATCAGATCTTCTGCCAGACTTGTACCAATGTGCGCAACTTTTATCTGAAACTGCTGAATATTACATTAAACATAAAAAAGAGTTCTAGGAAATGTTTATGCCTGGTTAAAATTTATAATCTACAGCTGTAGTTGTTTTGGTGCTTTCAGTTAGCCCCAGGCTCGGTGATTACGAGCCTAGATAGTAGCTGAACGCAACGTTATAGGTTTTTCTCCTAAAGCACCTGGGTACGAAGCTGAAGATTGAAGGAAGCTGATTGATAAGATTTAGTTGCAAAAATGTAAATGCCAATTACCAAAGCATTTCACTCCAGCATCTTCATTATGAACACAGTTGTGGATTCCCCAGCCTCTATGGGAACAACTGGCCAGATTTCGCTCCTTCCCAGAACAACGAACATCGTCTAACCATATCTGCCCTGAACCAGAAGGAACAAGATTTCCCTGAAGGGCCGCAAGGGCTTTCTGATAACCAAGTTGACGACACACAACTTTAGCATCCTTAATATCCCATTGGTCGTCACAGATTGTTCCCCATTTTCCGTTATAGAATATTTCCACACGACCAACACCATTTGAACTTGAAGGCCCTTTTAACTGGATTGATACACCTGGAAATTATTAAAACCGAATTATAAGCGACCAGTGGCGGTTCCAGAGTAAGTCGGATTAAATTAATACAGCTCTAACTTGCAATCATATTAAGAGATTTTTGTGAAGTTATTGTTGGAGATTACAGAAATTACACCATGGCATAAAGGAAAGATGGATAGATGTCCATCTCAGCTGTAAAGTGCCCAAATGCAGACCTCTTGCATTTTTGCTGGCAAATGTTTATTACGTGATATATTGTGTGATATTCTTCATTTGTCATTACGTCATTGTTTTTATGACATTTGCCGTGCATGTGACCTACAATCATTTGCAAAAGGGTTGACAGGTAACCAAATTTCCGATTTAAAACACGAGCCCAGATCCTTCTCGCCCCCTTTTCAGTGTTGTGTCCCAAGAAATCGGATATTTTTTTCGCAAACGTGTAACCATCACTGATTGGGGGAAGGAGGGTGGGGTGAGATGTATGGCAATGATCGTAAATAGTAGATTTTGTTTAAAAATAGTAATTGCCCAATTACTTTTAAAAATGATTGTATTTCACTAATTTCTTGGCATTTACGGAGATGAAAACACATTTCAAAATAAATTAATTTATTTTTATGAATTAAAACCCAAAAATTAGTACTAAAATTAAACGGCGAAATAATGAAAAATGACAAGGAATGATGGCTTCTGTATGACGCCTGTATTTCGGGAAAATCTTAGGACACAAAGTTACATTTCGGATAATACGTATTCTGTGTCGCGGGTATGCAACAGGTTGCCCAAATTCTATGTAATGGGCCGTGATCATTGGAATTTGTACGTACGCACAAAATCTGAACGAATAAAAACTGGAAATTAGCAACTTTCTGATCGCATGGCAAAATACAAAAATAACTGTAATTTTGTAAACGTTTTTGTAAAAGTCCTTTAAAACTGAAATAAAATGTGAAAAGATAGCATAAAACTGAGCAATAACTATAAAAAATATGCAATTCAAGCGTTTTGAAAAGATAGTTAGGTGTCGGATTTGTTATGTAAATTCAATCAGATCTCCTGCCAGACTTGTACCAATGTCCGCAACTTTTATCTGAAACTGCTGAATATTACAATAAACATAAAAAAATTACTAGGAAATGTTTATGCCTGCATGGTTAAAATTTACAATCTACAGCTCTAGTTGTTTTGCTGTTTCCAGTTACCCTCAGGCTCGGTGATTATGAGCCTAAATAGTAGCTGAACGCAACGTCATATATTTTCCTATTAAAGCGCCTGGGTACAAGGCTGAGGATTGAAGGAAGCTGATTGATAAGATTAGGTTGCAAAAATGTAAACGCCGATTACCAAAGCAGTTCACTCCAGCATCTTCAGAATGATGACAGTCATGGACTCCCCAGCCTCTATGGGAACAACTGGCCAGATTTTGCTCATTCCCAGAACAACGAACATTGTCTAACCATATCTGCCCTGAACCAGAAGGAACAAGATTTCCCTTAAGGGCCGCAAGGGCTTTCTGGTAACCAAGTTGACGACACACAACTGTAGCACTCTTGATATCCCATTGGCTGTCACAGATCGTTCCCCAATTTCCGTTATAGAATATCTCCACACGACCAATACCATTTGAACTTGAGGGCCCTTTTAACTGGATTGGTACACCTGGAAATTATGACAACGGACTAGTAAGCGACCAGTGGCGGCTCCAGCGTAAGTGAGCGAGATTAGATTAATACGTCTCTAACTTGCAATCATATTAATTAATTTTTGTAAAGTTATTCTTGGAGACTATAGGAATTACACCCTGGCATAAAGGGAGGATGGATAGATACCCATCTCAGGTGTAAAGTGTCCAAATGCAGACCTCTTGCAGTTTTGCTGGCAAATGTCTATTACGTGATATACTGTGTGATATCTTTCATTTGTCATTACGTCATTGTTTTTATGACCTCTGCCAGTCTGCCGTGTGGCCTACAATAGGGAACTTAGGCAAGTGACGTTCTTACAGCCAACGGCAATGTGACTGTCGCAAAAAGCCTGGAAACTGCTATGCCGTTCCCCGCGAATTTCAAAGCATTTAAGCCAACTGCAGCGACGGGAGATGTCTTCGTTTCGAGAAATTAGAGAGTTTTGTTTAGTACTGTTTGAAGAAGGTGTTCTGACGGAAGAAGAGTTTATTTTATTGCACTTAGCGTACGATTCAAGGAATCCAGTGTTTCCAAACAGCAATTATTCGTCTTTTTGTCTGGATGACATGAACGAAGCCGAATGTTTAGCAGAATTTAAAATACAAAAGCGCGACCTTGTATTTCTTCAGAAAACTCTACAAATTCCCGATGTAATTAAATGCCCACAAAGAACGACCTGTTCTGGACTTAAAGGACTGTGTATGGTCTTGAACCGCCTCGCATATCCATGTCGATACTCCGATATGATTTAACGCTTTGGCCAATCGGTTCCGGAAATGTGAATGATATCAAATTTATTTACTGATTTTATATACGATAATCACGGACATAGAGTAATTCAATGGAACCCACACGTTCTAAATCTAGGCTTAGTTGCCATTTGTAGCCAAATTTTATAGCCTGTTTCCGCCACGTTTTAGAGATAACGGCAAAATAGCCAGGGCCGTAACTAGAACGATAATTGGGGGGTGTTTATATATTCATATATTAAGTTTTGCCCGACGGATTTTTGGACCAGGAACTTGTCCCCACACGCGGCTAATCTTGTTGTTGTTGTTGTTGTTGTTGTTGTTGTTGTTGTTGTTAGGGGGTGACGCTCTTTAAAAAAGCCTAAGGCTCCGTCAATTCGCATCAGATCGCAATTACAGGGACCGCGGAAGGGGGGGGGGGTGCTGGGGGGCTTTAGCTCCCCAGTAATTTTCAAAATACATGTGATTCCTTTATAGCGATTTTTATATGGCCATAATAATACGAATAAAAACTCCTTATAGTAAGTTGTGTAATCATAATTATGTGTTCACTATCCGTGTTGGTGAACAATGTTTTCATTGAAGTGTTTACAAGAAAAATATAAACAAATAAGTATGGTCCCCCCCCGAGGGTTCACTCTTTCGGCTTCGCTAGCCCCCCCAATCCAAAAACTGCTCAGCAGTCCCTGAATTAAACTTCGCACAACTATCCTTAGCGAAATTCCCCATCGATTGACGGAGTTACAATTTTGATTTTTCTATTTTAAAGAAATTTAGAAGCAACTCAAAATTGTAGCGTAATAATGCGTATAGATTATATTCAATATTAGTATGCGTAACTGAAGCAAGTTCGAATGGCTAAGGCTCCGTCATTTCGCACCAGATCGTGATAAAACTTCACACAATTATCTTAAAGGTTATTCTCTATCGACTTACGGAGTTAAATTGTTTGTGCTTGTATTCTGCAGAAGATTTGCAAGCCATGTCAGATTGTGACGGGAGGCAAATTTTAATATTATTAATATTTATATACTCTTTGTTTTGTACACAATATATATTCATGACTATAAGACCATTGCGTTAAATGCGTTTCTCTCTAGGGCATTTCTTATTTTTTATTTATTTGTTTAGGGTTTGCCCAGCATACATATACATAAAAACGACTATAATGACAGTGGCAAGGTGCACGCAACGCTAGCTTCTCGCCAGCTACAGCGGCATAGATTAGAACATAGATGTGCAACTCGGCATATTTTAAGTGGCTTTGTATTGAAAGTAGATAAAAAATGTAGAAAAGCGATAATTTTAACATAACCGCAAGATTGCCTAGGTTCATACATATTTGAAATTTCATCCTGGAGGGAAAGATTGAATCTATACTTCACCAGATCCTGGTCCAATAGTACGATCGTACTTGTTATTGTAAGCTATTGCACTTACAAAAGAAACCCGTCGGGCAGAACTGAATATATGATTAATACCCCCCCCCCAATTATCGTTCTAGTTACGGCCCTTAAAATAGCCCATTAAAGGTTGGCGCCGAGTCGCGACGGCAACAGCTAAACCAAAAACTATTTACCGGAAGTGAAACTGACTTCCGGTAGCCGTCGCCGCGTTCAAAAACGTCAGTGCTTAAGTTTCCTAATCATTTGCAAAAGGGTTGGGAGAGGTAACCAAATTTCCGATTTAAAACACGAGCCCAGATCCCTCTCGCCCCCTTTTCAGTATTGTGTCCCAAATAGACGGACATTTTGTTCGAAAACGTGTAACCAACACTGATTAGGGGGAGGTGGGTGGGGGGGGCGAGACTGTGGCAATTATCGTATATAGTAGATTTTAGTTAAGAGTAGTAATTGCCCAAATCACACTTGTAACTTTGTGTGTGTCACACTCCCGCTTCGCGATCGTGCGATTTTGTAATCCTGCGTTTGATTTCACACCAAATCGCACTCCACTCAGTGCAATTACCATTATTAATCAGTTATTTAATTAAGTTATGAAGCCTTAGATTAACGGAGGTCAAAGTATAATAAATACAGCAGCGTTACTATGTTCAGTAGTTAAAATGCTATTAACCTACCTTTAGTTACCACAATTGTTAATGGCATTCAACAATGATTGAATCTCGTTGCTGTACGTATAGCTGTAGTTCTGTGTGTAATTTCCAACAGCAAAATATCCACTGGTTGTCATCGGATTACCTGAACTTTGTATGGTTGGGCAACTCGGTTTAGGTTCTACCCAACTGACAAAGGCCCTTCCCGAATAGTTACATCTTTTTCCACTGTTTGCGACATGGACATTCACAGGCTAAAAAAGGAAACGTTTTTAACACGAAGAAAAGAAAACAACTAAGGATTCTGTATACCAAAATAGCAACTGATCGGTACAAAGTTCTGAGGGCGCTTTCCTTTTATACGTTAAAAACGGCCAGACCGGTCCTGTTGTATTTCAGTACAGACAGAATACTGGTATTTTGGAGTGTTTTAAGAAATCTGAATCCAGATTTAATGTTATTTACATCTATTATATTTTTAATGAAATCCTGTATTTCAATTCAAAATACGACCGGTCTGACCATTTTGGCCGCTTAATGGAAAGCGCCCTAAATAATTTTTCTGAGGTAGCTTTGACGGCTTATATTGGGTAAATATTTTAAATTTAGACTTTCAGATGAAAAAAATATGAAAAAATATTTGACAATGTTGAACAAAACGAGTTTTTTGCGCAAACATCGGTATTCCATACGTCTGGCGCAAAGTCAAAGAAAATTAATCTTCAACTCTCCCTCTCCTTCAGAAAAAGCAACATAATTATGTTTCCCTTATAAAAGACAAATCTTGTTTTCGTTGGGAATTGCATGTGTTATAATTTTAATGGTGTGATGTAAAGCCATGGCGAGCCCAATCAATTCACGGCTAGTTGGAATATAAAAGGGAAACGTTTCTCTTATCAGTCACCCTGTGGTAGCTGAGCGTGCATCATCTGTTTGTATGTAATTATGAAATTTATACATGATTAAAATTTTCAAATTCGATCGGAAAAATATAATTCTAACGTTAACCCTAGAGTTAGGTGAGAAAAATAGTTGATCTAACTGAGGGATTGTTCTTTCCTTAATTACCTCTTAGGGCTGCTTTCCGCTGTCGCGTTTAATTTTTCACAGGCGGAAAAGTTTAAATGCTTCAAAATTTTTATTTTTTACCACGTCAATAAACACATATAAGTCAACAAACACATTTTAAAAAATGCGGAAAACTAAGATCTTTCGTTTTATTCACCTGGCTTTTTCAAATATAACATGTATAAGGATTTAGACTTGTACAATCGTGTACGTGCGTAGGAAAAACGCGACATTGGAAAGCAGTCCTAACCTTAGCCCAGTTTATCTGCGCTACTAACCCCGGTTGTGAATAAATGAAATCGGCTAAATACTCACGAACTACAGTAAAGTTGACAAAACATTTAAATTGAACCATTTTGCCATCACGTTTAAACGAGTACGGGTAGGTAATCACGTGCTTGCCCACTGAGAAATTTGCAGGAGACGCGTCATAAGGTGGATCAACCTGGCCCCTTTTGTAATCAGAACATGTGACTTCGGGTATTGTCCAATTAACTAATCCAGTAAGGGCTCCTGGTTTAGAATATGCAATGAACTCCTGTTCACTTATGCACCCACATCCTCCTAAGAAAAAGGGAAAATGCTTGTTTAAAGAAGCTGTTACTCATTGCTAGTGCATGACATAAATGGGCAATCAGAATCGTGCATTTTGGAGCTAACCATAATTTAGCAACACGTGAGTTACTTGAACAAGGAGGAATTTCGTTTTAAACTAATCGCCATATTTGTTTACATTTTTTAGGCAAAGGTAATCAGGTAAAAAGGTAAATAAAATTATTGTACTTCAGGAATTGAGGCATTTGAGGCAATATTCATAAATTATACGAACAATATACAACAGAACACAATAGAATAAGCCAATGGACCCCTTTTGTTAGCTCAGGGTAAAACCTATATAATAGAACTATTTTTTAATCCTCCGCGGGAAAATATTTTTTTATCCACTGTAAATAACATATATCCATTCACCTGTTTTTAAAATGATGACCGGGTACAAATTTTGGTTTAAAAAGTCGGTTTATAGCGAGTTTTTATTCGCTTGGTTCGTAACTTTTTATTTTTTAACTTTTAACATCATCTGCATACCTGAATGTGAGCACGAAGCATCAACGATTTTATTCACAACATTGTCAAAATTGTCCGAGACAATTGAATCAAACACTAGCTGTGGTGACGACCAATGCTTGATGTGAAGTTTCAAGTCTTTTATATCGTCTCCAATGCTTCCAAGCAGTGCAATAATAGTGACATTTTTCTTTATTTTTGTTATAAACTCATCCTTAAATCTGGTTTGATTTTCCACCCTAGCGTCCGTTCCGTTGCTCAATAATAGCAACAAAATGACGTCGTCCACGTTAGGACGGGAAG